GTCTAAGATTTAATATGTTCAATTCTATGTTCTAGTACTTCAAAAATATCACCCTACTATTTTTTTTTTGTTTTTTTTTTTTGTGAAGGTGGGGAATATCAGTTTATTATCATTTTGATAATGTTTGTTGTTGTTTTTTTTTCTCTTATTCTTTTTCGATTCTTCGAGTGTTGAAAGTTATTATAAAAGCACTAATATTTTTTAAACAAATCAGCCAACAGTCGGTCTTTAATACGATGTAACCCCCCCCCCCCCCCCCCCAACGCTCCACGCCACCCCCACCCTGAAAACAAAAACAAACTTTATAAACTAAACACTCTTTAGGCGCTTATTAGGAAAAGCTGGCGTTAAATGGTTCCATGACAAATGATCTCATGACAAATGACCTCAGACAAAATATCTCAGACAAAATATCTCAGAAAAAATATCTCAGACAAAATATCTGACGGACAAATGATCTCAGGACAAATGATCTCAGGACAAATGATCTCAAGGACAATGATCTCACGGACAAAAGATAGCAGGATAAAATATAGCAGGACAAATGACACCATGGACTATTGATCTCAGACAAAATATCTCATGGCAAAATATGTAGAGTATTTGAGAGTCGATATTAACATTTTTTTAAAAAACATGTGTCTTAAGGATTTTATTTACATTTGTTTTACACATAATAATTGTGAGAAAAGGTTTACTGCATAGGTTGGTCACATAACATGAAACATTAAAATTACAATAAGTAAAAAATATTATTTTCGTAGATCCAAACTAAGTTTTGATATAGAGTGTAGGTGGACTTGCCAATCATTAGACAAAGCTTCCAAATTAGGTGGACGAAACTAGATCAAAGGGGATTTCTGATCTATTGATGAAAGGGCTATGAAAACACACCTACGTAGCAGGGTGACCGCTCGCTTTGTTGGCGGACATGCTCTACGGGGGAAGACATCTAAACTCAATAAAGCTATTTTTCGGTCACACCTTAACGATCGGATGACACATGCATGTTTTTTTTGACAACAGCGGTTATTGCAGAATTAAGTTATTCATAGCGTAGTGTGCATGCAAACTAAGCATCATTAGTGATGACTACTCAGCTATTGCCTCTCTCTTTACATCGCAGATGGCATATCCACTTTTTATAAAAGTCAGATTTACGCTGGACAACAGCCAGTGTTGATGACGCAATAAATACACACATTTTATATTATGAACCCGTAAACCAAAACTTCCCTTTTGAAAACCATTTCATGTGTTTTGACATTAATGTGGTTAGTTTAATGATATCATCGTTTTATTTGTCTTTGCATTTTTGTGTATAATACTTTCTACTTTTTTTAAAGTAAGTTTACTCAGTCTTTTAATGGCTTGTTTATTAAGTTTAAGTCACTCATGTAGTATATATCACAATAATGATGTGTAAAAAAAATCCTAATACGACATTCAATTATAAAATGTAAAATCGACTAAACATAATCACTAAGCCAGTGAAGGTTTTTAAAAAATAAAGTCCTTGTTCTGAACTTTTATAATTCAAGGGGTGTATCTACAAATAAATATATCAATAAATTAATTAACGTCTTTAAAAACATTTGTGTTTAACAACAATTTGGTAAAAAAAACATTCTCTACATAAATATGTATTTTACAGTTCTACACTTAGTGCAGATGCTATTATCTATCGGGGCAGACAAACAAAAAAATATATACTAACTAGTAAACAAACTTGTATTCCTCAATAAGCATGGCTAATGAAGCTGTTGGAATGTGATCGTACAATCTTAGAGACAATTTCAAAATGATGTTTCATGGATATTTTTGTTAAAAGTTAATATTTAGTAAACAATGTGGCATTTGAGTGTGAAATAAAGAAGAAACATAGTGAAAAGTTAAAGTAAAGATTCATGGTGAGCAGATTGTTGAGCGTTGTAATAAACATCTACATGGATCAGACCCATCTCAACCCCGTGTATAAAACAGTGCAGCAGATGAAATAGCAGTGGTAAAAATACAACACCGTAGCGAATAGTCACTCAGTCCGTTTTTACCATTACTGGAGATGCCAAAGCCAAACTACACTCAGTTCCGCGTCGAGAAATGATACAATTATTACGGCTTTCGACAAATTTTCTTAAATAACCCCCCCCCCCCCCGCGCGCACACACACACACAAACACATACACACACCTTCCCCAATTGAATGTATCGCCGAATACATCTTTCGAGTGTTCTTGAATATCAAAGCTATAAATGTATAAATAAATATTGTTTTTTCCCTATTTTTGTTTAAGCTGTTTTATTTGTAATTTTCTCCATGTATAAGTATCCAAGGTGTGGATACAAGAGGGGGGGGGGGTAGTTAGTGTTTAGTGGAAAGAAGCATAACAACGCCTGTCTTTTTGTGTTCTTTAACAGTTGCGTGAGAGCTTACAATATGACGTTTACAACAGCAGCTTCATCAAGTCTGACTTTGATCCAGCTCACACGTTTGTTACTTTTGTTGTGTTTTATATTTAAAATATAGGGCTCAATGTTTCTGATCGATGTAATCAATATCCGATTATATTAATTTAATTTCATAAAATGTCTTAAACATCATATTTTTACTTGCTAGGTAAATTTATGGTCTTTAAATACTCACTTAAGAGAACAATATAAAATATTTTACTCTTGTAAATAAAACAATTTGTGTATTCTCACTTGTTTAGCGACATCGAAAGACACAATATTGAATATTGAATGTACAAAATTGAGAGGAACAAACACTACAACTGGTACTTTAAAAACTTGATTTTATTTTGATTAAACTGTAATCATAATTTTTGCTCTAGCTTGCTGACAAATGTTTCACACAATGAAATTTAGTTAAACTGCGTGTGTGAAGTTTATTTAGGTGGAATTCGTGGTCAAATAGTAGAAAAATTCGGCTGCTAATCAGAAAGTATTGACTTTGACGTCCCTGAGGCAAATAGCTCTGATAGATACCTAAAGGCAGCTGGGCACAGTGCTAACCACACTATCCCTTCATATGCCTAGGTTATTGAAACAAATAAACTCTACTTCACCTGCCCTAAAGAGTACTTTATTTTGTTTAAGTTAATTCACATAACATATTAATTAATATTTAAACTTTTAGGCACTTAGGTGTTCCACGACAGCCCCCCCTCCCCCCCCCCCTGTGTTGTTCTCTGTTTACACGTTGCAGATAAATTACCTGTCATATTGCATTTTCATTTACTGCAACTAATAACAATTTATTAAAATTCATTTAAAAGTTGAAATGAAACGTGCAGTTATTTTTCCTTCATTGCAGGTTCACAAAGTACTAGCACTTCAACAGTGACTACAACACAAACTACTAGCATGACCACACAAAGTAAATCTATTTCAAATGATTGAATCATTGTTTTTATGTACAAGTATATTCACCATCATCCCCCCCCCTCCTCCAAGACACAATGGGCAGCCAGTGTAAGCTCTTACTTCCCTTGCCGGTCCCTGGTATTTTTTTTACAGTCCCCCAAGATAATTCTGCTTCAGTAACTTGTTTTTCTATTGTTTCCTAAACGCCATTCCTGTCTATCAACTGGCTTGATCCTTATTTTTCCTTCATTGCAGGTTCACAAAGTACTAGCACTTCAACAGTGACTACAACACAAACTACTAGCATGACCACACAAAGTAAATCTATTTCAAACGATTGAATCATTGTTTTTATGTACAAGTATATTCACAATCATCCCCCCCTCTTCCAAGACACAATGGGCAGCCAGTGTAAGCTCTTACTTCCCTTGCAGGTCCCTGGTATTTTTTTTTTACAGTCCCCCAAGATAATTCTGCTTAGGTAACTTGTTTTTCTACTGTTCCCTAAACGCCATTCCTGGCTTGATCCTTAAAATGGTTTCCATTTCTATTAGTAATCTATCTTTTTAGATGGTGTTGGGTCAGTAGTTACCTTTTATTCTTCACGGGCAACACGTATATACTAGGTTTATATAATTATTCTTTTAAAATTACGTTTATATTGGTTCATAGCGTTGTTAACGTCGAATATTTATCATGAACATTCTGTAAATTTTAGCATGGATAAAAGACGTTAATTTCAAAATTCCATGAAAGATCTCTAATGTTCTTAAATATAAATTATTACTTTAGATCTGAGTACAAATACATATTTTTTTATAATAATACACATCAAGAATCAACCAACTAGTTTTTTGCATTGTAAAACTTTATTTTATTTACAAAAAGACGTTTGAGTTACACTCTTTGTAAAACACTTCTAACACTATAATTTAAAATGATCATTTTTAAACAGATGGCAGTACAAAACCTACGGCAGACACTTATGCTACGAACAAGGGTAGTATCTAACATTACTTTTTTTACATAATTATATATATATATATATATATATATATATATATATATATATATATATATATATATTCATATATTTTATATATTTAGTTACTGTCTATTATAAATAGTAATTAAATCTTATTCAAGTTTAAATTGTAACTACACTGCTGGTGCTTCGAAATGTTTATATTAGTCGCATACGCAATTGCTGCTTTAAAAATACTACATGTATCAATTATTTCACGTTTAAATAATTACTATACAATAATTGCTTTATTTACCACTATTTAGTTACCATTGCAAATAATACAAGTGAAGAAAGTACTGAAAACACGACAGGTAATAAACACCTATGTATACTGATTTTTGTAATCTTTAATCCACCTATCCCTTATTCTTGTTTTATAATTGTATATGATAAAATGTAATGTAAATACAAATTAAATATAACTAGATATTTTTAAAAGACATCTGTTCCTAAATATAAAACACACAAAAAAATTTGTTTTTTTTAAATGGCCAAAAACAAACTTAAAAATAAGGAATGCATTTCAAATTACAACTGACATTATACTTGCAAAAAAAAATGTATTATATTTTTCAAATTCATTTTTTTAAACTTAATGTTTTACACTTTCACGCTTAGCTTTAGTCAAATTATTCAACTTCACGATTAGCTAGATTTAAAAAAGATACATTAAAATAATACTAAAAATGTGTTGGTTAAACGTGTCGATGATCATACGAGGGCCTTAACCGAATTTCTTTTCTTCTATCCAGCCCTAAAACTCTTCAATAGATTTCGAATATTCTTTTTACAATCCTTAAGCCTAGCATATTTATATATATATATATATATATATATATATATATATATATATATATATATATATATATATATATATATATATATATATATATACAATCAGTTCAGACATCTACAACATCCGATTTAGCAATGACAACAACATCACCAGAGGTCAACGGTATTGTAATTTGTTTTGCCTATTCTACGTTTAATAGCTGTATTATCCAGAATATATCCAAAGTTTCTAATTAAAAATATAGAGTTTTGGATATACTCACCCTATAATTCAACATCAGGCTTTTAATTTGACATTAAAAATTTTGCGCGGATTTTTTTGGGGAAAATACTCCTTATACGCCAGAATTTATGGTGAAAAATTAATTCAACAATTAGCCTATGTAATGATAATTAATAAGTTTTTTGTTAACTCTTATGCTTATTTTCTATCCGAATAACTTTATCTTCCGAACCAGAGACTAATAAGGTTGAAAGTAACAAAAACACAATGTCAATTATAATTGCTGCCATTGCTTTAGTTGTTTTTGCTGTCATTATCATCGTCTTCACTTTGATCTTCATACGTCACAGGTGGGTGATTAGGTTAGTTCATTATTTAAAGCAGAACACTCATTAACACATAATAAATTTAACTTTCATCAAAATTGTAAAGCATTTGTTAACAAAACCAATCATATTTTTAAATGACTTTATTTTTAAATGGGTATTATAAGTAAATAATATGAAGATAAAATTGTTTGATTTATTGTTATATTTCTTGTCACAGGAGAGGGCGGCAACGCCTTGCAGTTTATCACAAAGACGACGAGTATGCCGTCATAGATGCAACAAACACAAAGGTTTGTTTGTCTTTGCCATGTTCTTTATTAATTTTATTCATTTCACATTTGTATATTAGATATACGCTATCCTTTTATGTGCCGAGGTCTCTGAATCAGATGAACTCTACTTCATCTGCCCCATATGTCCTGGGCACGAACGGGAAATGATGATGGTATTAGATATAAAGTAATTATACCTTAATAGATATACTGTAAACAGTTCCCTTTCCAAACCTGACGATCTATGGGACAAGTGCAGAAGAGTTCACCTGTTTCTGTGACCTTAACATATGAAGGGATAGTGTAGTCAGCACTACGCCCAATGAAATTTGTTACAATAAAATGTTCATCTTTAGTAATGACTTGTTAATACAAACTTAGCCAGACCTCATTAATATAATTATAACTTATTGAAAACTTCTCATTATACTTTAACCTTAATTATATCACCTTGTTTTCCTGTAGAAAAATCTACGTCGAGATAAAAATAAACCATCTGTAAGAAAGACCTCTACTGCTGATGTAGACAATGATGTGAACGGCGACAACGATGCTACTCCACCCAACGATGCACAGTACTCTGTACTCTCAGACACATCCAGAGCTTATGCCAGAATATCGGTGACCCGAAATTCTAAACCAGAGGGGAAACCAACACCAAAACAGTCGACGTCAGCCACCACGTCAGGCGCAGCATCAGAACAGCAGACATCATTGACTGCTGTTAGCGCTGAGACGGAACAAATAGGATTGTACAGCACCGTGAAGTAAGTCTGCAGAAAACAACTTTTAAATTTGTAAAGAATCCTCTTTAGATCAAGCGATTCATTGGGCAGATGAAGTAAATTTTATGGTTCTTAACCTCGACATATGAAAGGAAGGTGTGGTCAGCACTTTGACGCCTACTTTCCCCTAACAAGAGTTAGGTATCCTTTTGAAGACTTAGGGACATTCTACTGACTTGGACCCGGATTCGAACTCGAGACTTTCGGGTTAATCGCCTGGCGCTCTACTGCTTAGGCCACGTCATCCCGTCGATAACAGCTCTTATCAATCACAATATATATCTTCATATATTTGATTCAATCTGTTGAGATATTGCTATTTATTAATTTATTTGATGCTGAGAATGTAATTAAAATTTTTTAATTTAAATTAAAATTAACGAGGCATGTTTTTATTTTAAATCAACACCCTAATAAATACGATTGTCTATAAAACAAACTATAATTAAAATTAATACTATTTTGATTTGCAACTAAATATGTGTTACATGTATTCAGAGAATGGTTGTCTTGACTTATTTTCTGATATTTCAGTAAGCTCAAAAAGAAATCCCTTACAGCTTCCGATGCAGCTCCGGTTCCTAGTCCAGCTCCAGCTCCTGGCCCGGCTGCTGACCCAGCTCTTGAATCGAATGACGTGTACTCACACTTGTCCCACTTAAAACAGAACAAGCCAGAGACAGAGAACGTTTACAACGGATAGACTTTTTAATGTATATATATATATATATATATATATATATATATATATATATATATATATATATATATATATATATATATATATATATATATACATATATACATATATATATATATATACATATATATATATATATATATATATATATATATATATATATATATATATATATATATATATATATATATATTGTTAACTTGCATGCATATCTTATAAATTAATTGCTTACTCATTTAGATATTTAGCAATTTAGATATTTATTAAAATGTACGTTTATTCTGTATAATGTTACTAAGATAATGCTGTTTCTTTTATTTTAATGCAAATGGTACACATTTTGTAGTGAACGCTCGAGTGAGAGGGGGGAAAGTTGAAAATGTTTTGTAACAGTTTGATTCTCTTTGACATTTTCGTTTATCTTTTTTAACTGTGAGGGCAGTAAACCTGAGCCACGATAAATGTTTTAGAGTTCAAGACTAGTGCACCGATTAAATTTTAACGCTACATTCACGTACAATGTAATAAGATTTTATGATTGCGCTTATCTTAGGAAATCAATTTCCGTTCATCTTCTCTCTGTAGATAGGATTAAAGTGTAGGCGTGTTGTTTAGAACTTAGATAAGACATGGTGTGACACGTCTTTTTTTTAATTGTATGAACTCAGCTTTTCGTCATCAATCTGTAGTGAGTCATATGTTTCGTAGAAGTCCATTGCGATTAAATCAAAGCGTAGTTTATTTAGTTATATTTTTTAAGGTGTGTGTTGGGGAGGGGGGGGGGGGTTGTGACAAAGGCATAGTAAATTGCGTGAAAGCATATGTCACGTACGTCGTTTTAAAAAAAAAATTGTATAAGACTTTTGTAAGATGAAACTTATAGCAACTTAGGTTGGTTTGCAAAAAACTACACTAGTAGGACGTGTGTTATGTTTAGCTTGTTCAGTCAGGGGGTTAAGAGTTGAGACTAATCGCCTAGTCACACCAAGTGAAGACGGATGCGTAATACACAAACTGTCACAAACACATTGTGAAGTTTTTAACAAACTGAATGAGCGCTTGTATAATCTGATGTGTCGCATAATGGCACTTGGTAAATTTTAGTTGCATTAAGAGTTGGAAATCGTTAAACAGGAACTAAATTAAATGCGTTTTTTTTTATTTCGTACAACCTTTATTTAACGTTGTATGGATAAACATATCATTTACAGAAAAACACAAGTAACATTCGATAAAGCTGGCACTTATGTTTTAGCACTTGTTATTGTTGTTGATAACACAAATTATAATTTATAATCTAGTCCATATTATTGAATAAATAGAATAATAATAAACATCACAAACATTGTCATTCACTGTCATACACGCTCACACACACGCACAAACACACAAACATATATATATATATATATATATATATATATATATATATATATATATATATATATATATATATATATATATATATATATATCTTGCATAAACTTTTCCATAACCTTTTAACTTAAATATTTTAACCCGTTATTTCATTTTACATATTTATTGCTGATACGCATATATTTTTTCCTCATTTACCGCATTATCTACATTGAACCATGATTTAGAAATCTTCATTAACCTTTTTTCGTAAAAATTCTTAATAAAAAAATAGCATTTAAGAATAAATAAGTTTAAAATGTTAAGATTTTTAATTTACAGCTTGCAATCTATATAAGCATGTGTATGTATTCTAGTAAAATAGATTAACATGATCATTAACATTTATTACATTATTACTTATTTATTTCTATTTATGAACATTAGAAAAAAACTGTATTTATATATTACTTCAATATACTAATATATTGCTTCTCTTTTCGGTCGCTTTTATTGATGATATTTCAAGTGGTATGAATTTAAATATAACAAACATTGGTTTAGTCTTTAAGTTACTGAGTCCAAGCCAGACATAGACCTTTAGATTTACAACAAAAATTACATAACATTTTTCTCCATTTTTTAATTGTTATATTAAGTAATTCCTATGCATTAGAGTCACGCACCTGCTAGCCATAAGTAGTTTAGACAGGAAAGACAACATTGATAACGTACGGGTTGGGCCGTTATGTAAAGACTCGATACCATGCTCCCTCTCCGTAGATCTTTCTTCGTGCGAACCTCTGCCAAGAAAAATGTCACTAGGAAAAAGGCATCGTGGACTCTATACACGTTATACAGTACCATAATTGAAAATGTTTCACATCATAGACCTCCTATGTAAGAAATATGGCACCGCCGCGCGCCAGATCTCGCGCAGTACATGATACTGTCTGCTCCTATTAGATTATGTTTGAATTTAAAGAGAGAATATGGAATCACGTCATTTTATTTTTGTAAGTTTGTTTTATTAAAGAATTTTATCTTTTTTATAAGTTTTGAGTAAATTTATATTAATTAAGAAAATAGTATAGGCCTACCATGTCTTGTTCATGTTTGTGTTAACAGAAATTGATAGTCACGATATGTTTGCATCGTGTGTACATTTTAATTGCATACAATTACTTTTAATAAATAAAAAAATCTTCGCTGGCTTCCATAATTTGTTTTTCCTTTCTTTAAAAACAGTTTTTTTTATTGTATTGTTTATTTTATGTCTATGAGTAAGTACATTGTTATAAATAATGCCACAGATATTTCACATTTAAATTATTTTGAGGTACAAGTGAAACATTAACCATTAAATTACGATACGTTTAAGATGATGTAGTTATTACTTGACACAGCCGATGGCCCAAGAAAGTATAAATTAGTGTTTATTGAATGTAAAAAAGCGGGTGGGGGATCACGAAATAGTAAAAATTCAAAATAGTAAAAAAAAAAAAAGATAACTTGTATAAATGATATACTTCAACCAGCATCAATTGTGTAATCAGTAAAAATAGCCGCAGTCAGATTTAGGGCTATAGACCCATGTTGTGTGGTACAAATCCTCACACATAGAAAGTCGTGCGTTATTAAAAAAAAACCTGAGTGGTTGTCTTCATAACATTAACAATAGGATCTTGGGGGGGGGGGGGGGGTGCAAGCTTGTAATATTAAGCAAATTATATCTTGGTGTGAAGTTCTAAGGAAACCCTAATCATACAAAAGTTACGAGGCCGAAATACTTGTAAGGGAAATAAATCAGCAATTGGTAATCCTTTATTATTTTTTGAGTTGTCTGCCTTTGACCTTATAAATCAAGCGACAGCAATAACTTAATCCTGCCGTTTGTGATACTCAATTATTGAGGCCTATAGGGCTGGTAAGTAGGTCACCAACCAGTTCTACGTCTCAATATAACCTGCATGAGCCATAGAACTGGATGGTGACCTACTTACCAGCCCTATAACGTCCTCTCAGTATATTATAATCTTGGCAGTATTTTAGTTTATAATTGTCATTTTTACTTTCTAGGATATACGAAGTATAGAGAAAGTCTTGTAATCCCTGAGTCGGAAAAACATTTTTGCAAATCTTTTCCGTATGTCTGTGTGTATGTGTTTCTATGTGTCTGTGTGTCTGTCTGTTAAACACGATAACTTAAGTACCGTTACAGCTAGGTTGGTGAAATTTCATATATAAATATTATATCAAAATCGTAGATCCGTCTCAACTTTTGAGCGATTTCCGATAACCGGAAGTGGTACTTTTTCTACTTTGAATTTTTCAAAAGCCTATAACTTGAGTAGGCCTACTATTTCAGATAGATAAATGAAATTTCACAAGTAAGTAAAAGATCTATCAAATTTTGAGTAATTTCCGTTTACCGAAAGTAGTAATTTACGCTATTTCCGATTTCTCAAAAAACGCATGTAAATTTATAAAGTACTAAAAATATTCCACACTAGTATGCACATTTTGTTTTGGCGTTCGCTTGGTGCGCAATTCTTTTTCTACGAGATTCTATTCTATTTTTAAAGTTTAAGTAATTAAAAATCATGTCTATATTCCGAGTTGCCATCCCACGTAGTGTTAAATAAGAATATTCGAGAAAGTTTAGGGGAGATTGTAATATAGTGAGACTTGTGAAGTCAAGGGAACTCACTCTTCTTGTATTAGTATTATATTTATACTGTTATCTTGAGTGATGTCCCTTACATGTATATATATATCTTTGTCTCTCGTCACTTCCGCTCTCTCTCGTTATCATCATGTAGTTGAAGGCCAATAAACGTTTTATATACAACCACATGCTTCTATCGTCAATCCATTACATCTGGCGACGAGGATAAATAATCCACTAGAAAGAGAACCTACTTACTCAAAAAGAGGTTTGCTAGAGCATATTGGCTAAGTATTTCTAGAATAATGGCGCTGTATGGCCAAATAAAAGAATTTGATTCGAATGATGAAACCATTCATGATTATCTAGATAGGTTAAGCTTTTACCTTGAAGCTAACGACGTGACGATAGAAGCCAAAAAGAGAGCTGTTTTGTTAACAGTCATAGGGCCTCAACAATTTAGGCTACTAAAGGACTTATGCGCACCAGCTAGTCTAACTACCAAGAGCTTTAACGAGCTGAGCAAATTGCTAACAGACCACCATGCGCCTGCCCCATCAAAGTTTCTATGTAGAGCCAGATTTGACAGTAGGACTCGTCAACCAAACGAGTCAATATCAGAATATGTTGCTGCTTTACGTCATCTAAGTGAATTTTGTGAATTCGGCGAAAAGTTTGTGACAGGTGTAAACAGTCCTGATGTTCAAAGAAAGTTGCTGCTCGAGTCAGATCTAACATTAGAAAAAGCAATACAACTTGCGACTTCATTCCAGCAGTCATCCGATGCGGCGAGATCTCTAGCACCCTCAGAGATCCATGCAGTAAACAGCAGGTTAGTCAACAAACACCAACCCCATCAGAGCATTTTAACTTATGCTAAACAGCCTGCACGTTCAAATCCTAGATCTAAATCTAGTAATAATTATCAAAAATGTCATCGATGCAAAGGTCCCCATGCATCTCATCGATGCAAGTTCAA